CCCCAAAACCCCAAAACCCCAAAACCCCAAAACCCCGGGTGGTAAATTTAGGATTGATTCATGAGTCAAATAAATTAGGTTAAATTTTGAATTCTCTTCTGAGTCTCATTCTGTCCTGATTCATGACCTCTTGGCGTAACTGGTCGATGTTCTTCAAGGTAGGGTCTTGAATAGTGCTCAGGATTTCAGAATGGTGCAGACTGAGGTTTGATGAGTATTTTAGGACTGAGTTGGGTGTCGTAGGACTTAGTTTACTCTCCTCATGCTTATGGAATCTTCTTGGGTTTCCTCTCATTATGGTGGGAGGAGGTAAATTTTGGATTTTAATGGCAGATCTCATTTTTTGGATACGGGAAATAATTGATTTTATTAAAAATACGAATCAAACAATGCTTCCTATAATTGGAGAAGCCATAAGAATTTTGATATAGAAGTCTTCATAAAATGGGGTCCAATTCGCTTTCGTATTTAGCCAAGATAATGGAACGGCAAGGGAACAAAATAAAATCTGGTTGATGCACTCAACAATATTATCTTGAGGGTTCTCATACGGTCTGCTAACCAGAAGGTACGCTCCATAAGCGATGTTTATTGCTCAGAATGCAATTGCTTTATAAAATGATGGAACAGTCTTTCCAAAAATAACAAGAGAGACCAGCATGACTCTGAGCATCAAAAAGATAGTAGTATAGAGGTTAGAGCCTTTCCCATGCTTGACTCCGTTGAAGAACTCTTTACAAGCCCAATATTTCTCATTGTCTATCTCTGGAAAAGATTTTTTATACATGTACAAAGAAAGGAGTAGCATGCAAAGTCAGCCAATAACGGTAAATATGCAGAATCCGAACGATATTTTCACAGTTGTTGTCTTCAGGTTTAACGAGTAAATTTCAGAGAAAGTGCAGAGTATTGTGAACGTAAACGACTGAATGAAAGTACGAATGTAGATGTTGAAGGTGAAGAATTCGAAAAGTTTATTGAAGAACTTCTTGCATCCCTCGTGTTCAGATCTCCTTGCTCATTTTATTAATAGATAAACTCAGATATGACCTATTACAAGCAAAATAATGAAAGAAATAAAGGAAATATAATTAACAATAGAGCTTCCAGAGCTCATCCCGATGTCTTCTAAGTATTCATCGGTCTGTGGGTATTCAACCCAGTTCTTGATAGTTTTGACAAAAGGAATATCTTCGAGTTGAATGAAATCAAACGAAAGCATTGCAAAGCCCATTCCATCCAAGAAATCCATAACTTTGATAGAAAAGTACTCTGGAACAAGTGGTAGAAGAATTACGAGTTGGAGGCTGTTCATCATACAGAAAATAGAGTTGATCGAAGTAAAAGAAAGAGCAGATGAAGCAGCAGCAATTATCATACCTACTCCCATAAAAGCAGTGGCAGTCTGTGCAGTCCCGGCAGGCGCTCGAATTTTAGATCAGGATTTCTTTTCATCAGAGCTTTGATAGCCATCTGTTCAAGTTTCTCAAATACTAGAATTGCCTAGTGTTCATAGCTCACAGTTCTTAATAGATCACTCTTCTACAGTGATCTCAAACTCCTTGTAGTGTACTTCACTGTTGAAGGAGATCTGAAGTGAAAAATAAAAAGTCTTCTCTTCGGTCAGCTTGGGAGTGGTATTGAGGTTGAGTTCTTGCTTGTCTGCATCCAGCTTTACCCACTCAGGTATAGAATTTGAACCGGTTTGTGCCAGACTGAAGCTGATATCAGTGTAGTCTCCAGACTGGATTCAGGCCCAGGTAAAGTCAAGCTTCACCGAGGTGTTACTCTGAACTGATTGCGTGTAGTCCTGATTCCACAAAGTCACGTAGGTAGCAAATGAAGGATTGGTTGAAGAAGTAATATCAGTCGTTTCAATTGATGAAGAAGTTTCAATGATGAGGGTGTTCGTGCTTGTAGTAAGGCTTGGGTTTGATGCTGCTGACAAAACCTGATAGTCAGTGGTAATTGGGCTGAATAGAAGAGTGTCTTCTTCAAATTCATAAAGCTGTCCAATGCTGTTTGTAGGTGATCTTGCAAAGAAGAACGCATAATTGGGTTCTATTCTTCCAGAATGATACATTAGCTCTTCACCTTGGTAAAGCAATCTTCCAAGTGCATAAGCCTTCGAGCCAACCGACTTGTACACCTTGACAACTTCTGTGATTGAGGGAGTTACTAGGATCAACCTTTTCTTATTTGATAATGAGGAACTTTCGATTTGAATGGCAATGAAATCACTGAACTCTTTCATTCAATAACTATTTTGATAACCACTGTCACTCCAAATCAGTCCTGAGTTTTGGGGACTCCCATCAGTGATGTTAAGTTTGTGCAAAATAAAGTTTGCATCGTACAGCACCATTGTGTAGACCCACTCTTCATCTCTGCTCAGCAGGGAAGCACTGAATTTACTCACTCAGCCCGAAGTGGGACAGGCAATGCTCTTATTCCAAAGTGAGCTGGAGGAGGAGAAGTTGTAAATTATCAGGTAGTATTTGTCAGCTGCTGTGTCAGTTGATCCAAAGAAGAGTAATTCTTCACTGATTGAAGCCAAGTTGGTATGACTGCTGAAACCGGAAGATAATCAGTAGATATTGGAAGTTAACTTGTCCCATTTGCAAATGTGTATAGTTGAGCTGAAATTGATGCTGAAGAAGAAACCTTTGCTTATTTCCATATTTGAATTATAATCTACTGAGGAAGAGCTAACTGACAACTCCCTGGAGATGGCCAAATCGGAAGTCCTGACTTCAAATATCTTATCAGTAGTTATATCTGGGATGTAAATAAACTCCTTGTTTGCAGACATGGCGTAGGATCGATACTGACAGTAGATATCATAAGTCATCACTTGAACTTTAGCCAGTTCAGGGTCTGCCTTGTAAATAATTGTGTCCCATGGACTATTCGTGCCATAATACCCTATGAAATAGAGTAACTCATTGTCTTGGTCTTCCAAAATATCGAAAAGAAAGGTATGTGTAATTCCTGAAGCTCCTGGCATTTCGAAACTTCCAGAGAGGAGAGACCCTGCCGTCTGGACATCGTTCTGGCACACATTAGCTGCAACAACAATGATTGATAAAAGAAGGATGGACAGGTGCATCATTTTGATCATATTAATAATAAAATTTACAATTATTTATTCACCGTGGGGTTTTGGGGTTTTGGGGTTTTGGGG